TTTTTTTTTTTTTTTTTGTACAGGGTGGTAGTGGCCGACGTGCTAGGCGGGGCGTGTGCGCCGTTTTTTCGCACGCGCCCCCGCCTGGCCTTGGCGAGGCCGCGCACAAACTCGGCCGCAGGCCCGCGGCCGGCCTCCTCGGCCGCGGCCGAGCAGGCGGCGGCCGTGGCCGAGGGTGCCACATAGAGGGACGCTGGATTCCAAGATCCACAAGACGGCGCACTCCGTTCACATCCACCTTGCACAACAGATTGTCATCAAACAGGATGCCGGCATCGATGAGCAGGTTGTGGAGAATGCACACAACCACAAACTGCTGCGGCAATGTCTCCATGTTCATCTCGTGCGACTGCAGAAACAGCCTCCACATCCCCTTTAGTCTGTCGAAAGCCCTCTCAACTGCCCCCCTCACGATCTTCTGCTTATTGTCAAACTGCGTCTCTAACTGGTGACGAGTAGTGGTGCCAAAAGGAATGACTATCCCTTCCGACTGTGGGTAACCATTGTCGCCCAGCAGGTAGCCGTTCGTCTGGACGCCGAATGGCAGCATCACAGACGGTCCCGTGAAAAGTTCGCCAGCCTCTGCACGTGCCCATAGACTAGACACTGTCAGGTGAATGATCCTGACGTCGTGGCAACTCCCAGGATAGCCGACGAAGACGTCCAGCACACGCAAGTCCAGATCGACGACGACCTGAGCGATGATCGAGAAACGTTGTTTTCGATCGTAGTAGTCCTCGCCAAGGGCGTTTGCCCGCTTGCCGATGTAGATATGCGTGCAGTCGATGCAGCCACGACAGTTGGGGAACCGCTTGCCAGCGAAAGCACGGAGGACGACCGACTTGCGCACCCCCACCGGCCACGATGTCTTGTCACAGTGGACCGTCAGCAACGCCGCAGTGCCGTCGCTCACCGCCACAGAACCTGACGCTCTGCCGATGCCAAAGTTACAAGTGCTGCTCGCGTACGTCTCCCCCAACGCCCACCTGTACAACACGTACGCGACGATCTGATCTGGCTGCAGCGACTCCCTGTAGAATGTCACACGCCGCTGTGGCAACGGCGAGAGAGCTTCCGCAATCTCCCGGAAGACATGTGGCGACATGTGCAACTTGTCCCGAAAGTAGTCCTCCGTTGCGTCGTCGCATTGCCGCAGATCCCCCCACGCCCCACCCGTCCTCCTTTTCATCCACCACCTCGGCTTTGCTCTGGGAAGAGCTCCGCAACCCAAGGGGCAGCACACGTGAACGACGGCATCGATGGCGGCGGTGTCCAGCCGAGGGCCTTCCAGTGATGTGCACTGCGTGATCTTCCTCCTCCTCGCGCGGATCTGCTTTTTCATTCTCCCCACCGTCCTCAATATCTGACAACGAAAGAGGATTGCAGTAACAGGCGCTGCCAATGCCGTCCTCTCCGCTGCCGTCAGGCAATGAATCTCCCTCAGCGGCGGCCTAGCGTGGCCAAGTCCGCGGCCGCGGTCAGGTCCGCGACCCCGCGGACGTGTCCGCGCGGCCGCACAACTTTGCGGCCGCATGGCGGTCAGTGGGGAGGGGGGTTGGGGATTTGGGAGGCGCCATGGGG